ACTGTCTGTTCAGCTCATTTGCCCATTTTTTAATTGGATTATTTGCTTTTTGTTTGTTGACCCTACCATTCTTTAAAGGGCTTCACATTTATCTTGGGGCACTAAGGCAGGGTGAGCCTGCACTTTGCAGTCAAAATTAAGGCCAAGTCTGTTCTCTCTGGGCCCCTCTTTCAACCCTTTTGATGGAGACAGCATTCTCTGCTGCCTCAGGGTAAGGCAGGGGTTGGATGGGTTGTGGTCAGGACTGTGGTTTTTCTCTGATCACAATGGTTTCCAAGAATCTAGACTGTGCCTTTCCCCTATTTGCTGCCACCTAATGGTAGGGTACTGCTTCCTATTGGTACTAAGTAGTTTCATACCTAAATCAAGACTTCTAGGCTCCGAAGCCTTGGCTGCCCCTTTGCAGTCTCAGCCCAGCCTCTGTGCCCCTCCCCAAGGCAAGCAAAATGCTTCAGTTCTGTTTCTTCTCCACTAAGCTGATGTTGAAGGGGCCAGAGCACTGGCCTGAGCTGACCCACAGGGATTCAATTTTCTGCTATTTTATTTGTTCACGCACATTTGCATAGTTTATGAGCCTCAGTTTCTCCATCTAAATAATGGGAGTGAGGATCCTGACATCCCAGAGGGGATAATAAGGAATAACATGGTGTGAAGGGTTGGGTGATCTGAGCCAGGCAGCACTACAACTTTGGGAAATGAGGACCCACTCATCTGCCCCTCAAAGAAGTCATGCCAACTAGCAGGATATGGGAAGAATATTCACGAAACACATGAGTTCACCCCCTCAACCATGAGTCAGTAGATCAATAAGACAGATGGCAAACGGAAGGAATGTTCTAAGTCTCAGAAATTGTCTGTCCCCTTCTAATGCATGGTCCCTCTCACGTTGATTCACAAATGGGCTGACATATTAATCACATGCATGTTAGAAAGCCAAGTACATGTAAGCTGGAGGGACAGAAGTCAGATCTCCTTAGAGAGAGAGAGTATGGGATCTGGAGAACCTGCTAGATGTGGGTTAAGCCAGGCACATGAGTTTGGGCAGGTTACTCCACCTCTCCATGCCTCAGCTTTCTCACCTGTGAAATGGAGCTCATACTGGCTTCGATATAAAGTTCTTGTGAGGAATAAGTGAGCAGGTAAAGGTCTTGGCACTTAGGAAGCACCCAATAGATCTAACCAAAATAATGCTACTATCTTGGTGTTTTAACTTAGAATCTGCCCAAGCATCAAGGTCAGGAATGCTCCCTGTCCCACTTTGACTTTGAGTTTCAGGTAGCATTCTCCTCTCTCCAGTGTGGCTGGAAGAAGAGCCGCCTTTCCTGGCTGTCCTTTCCTTGTGGACATCAGCGTCTGGGCTACATCAACTGAGTTGCCATTTCTACCTGGAGATCTGGGGTGAGCCCCCTGCCCTTGCTGACTTTCAGTAAAGCCACTCCTGGGGAATCAGTGAACAAGTTGAATTTTGAAGGGTAGGACTGGTCTGTTGATTTAAAATGCAGAACCAATGAGAGCTGTGTTCTGGCCCAATTTTCTGGGATAACTTTAATACTCTGGTTTTTGGGCCAAATTGCTGGGTGCTAAGCACTTTGTCTTGTTGGGTCATTCTGGTCACCAGAGCTGAACAGAGGTAGCCAGGCCTGGGGGTGTTTGTGGGCAGTGGATTTCTTTGCAGCTCCCATGGGCGATTGGTATGGCACCCTTAGGGTCATTGCCCATGTGGTACCAACTCTTGGTCAGCTAGGCATGCAGGCTTGCCAGCAACTGGTCCACTGTGTCCTGGTGTGAGCAGAGGGACTGTGATTGGCTAGGAGGGTATTGCCAGGGATGGGTGGAGGGGGTGGGGTGTCCTGCAGGACTCAGAGGACCAGGCCCAAGGGATAAGAGATGCACTGGATTATTTGGAGCCCCTTCAGTGATAGAGCTGACAGGGCCCTTACCACCCAGGCTTGGGGGAAGACTGTGGGGCACAGGACTCGGGAAAGAAGGGGTTGGAAGGGAGGTGCTAGGAGCCCAACTCAACCCTCAAAACCCCTCCCCTCCCTGTCTCCCTGCAGTTTGCCAGCCAAAGGGCTGCCACACAGGGAAACTGCCAGCTAGGCAGGAGATTTGGCAGCTGCGGATTCCCCAGCTTGGAGCAGCCCCTCTTTGGTGAGTGGAGCCCTCCTTGCATTTGCACTTGGAGCAGCCCCAGCCCTCCCCCAGGGCCTGGTAGGTTATCTAGCCTCTCCTGAAGGCAAATTCAAATGCTCATATTGGCTCCTTGCCCTGGACCCTTGGCACACCCTTTACTTTCCCTGCTTTCCTAGACCCTCCTCGTCCCACATGCCTTCTTCATTCCTTGAGGTGCCTCTTCTGTTCTACTCCTTCTACTTCTCTCTGTCCTGCCTGGTTCTCTGGGGCTATTGCTGGGTCACAGGGGGGTCCTTGAGCTTACCCTTTGGTGGAAGGGGCTGAGGGCCTAAGGGTGAAGGCTGGGGTGGGGGGCCTCGAGAAGCCAGTCCACTCTGCTCAGTCAGTGGAGGTCATCTGCCCCATGCCTGGACCCCTCCCCCAGTGGCCAGGAGCAAGCCTTGGTGTGTGCTGGGTTTGCTTCTCAGCAGCCCCTGGCCCTATCTCTGTTCCAAGTCGGTTGAGTCTTACTGACCCTAGAGTCCAAATCTGGAGTAAGCTGGTCACCTGCATCCATAATTTGGAGGGGATACCTGACACAGCTGTCCACCTTTCCCAGCCTAGCAGGCATGAGTGAACCAGGCTGGCAGCCCACCACTGTGTGCAGGGTGCCTTTCTGCATGGGGGCTTGGATAGGAAGGAGGCATCTGATATGGACTCTTCTTCCTGGGGGTGGGCAGGGGAATGGAGGAAAGACCACCACCTGGGGAACTAACTGCAGCTCATGGGGGTGGAAGAAGATGCAGGTGTGCTCAGGAGATTCCAGCAGGGGTGATAGGCAGTGGCAGGGGAATGGCTGGAGGCAGGAACTCGTGTTCCTGCAGTGTGGGAGCTGGGGAGTCGGGCTCCAGTAAGGAATTTAGAACTCATGACTGGAGGCCCCTGCAGTATGCTGTAGGTTAAACCCAGGGTTTGGGGAATCTGTTCAGTCCCAGATGGTCCCAGGAGTCCTCAGAGCATGTAAAGTCTAGTGCAGAAGCTGCCTAGGCCTTAGGTACAGGTGTGAGCATTCGACAGGAAGCCGGAGGGACTTCTCTGGGCTCCCTGGAGACCATATCTTAAAAGGCAGCAAACCAGTGCCCCTGGCCATGTGAGGCACTCAGACCTGGCTGCCCCTAACTGTTGCCCAACTTTGCCTGCAGACCTCGCATGGTGGAGAAGCAGGCCCATGAAGGTGCCCAGCCATGCAATGTTCCTGGAAGGCAGTGCTCCTCCTTGCCCTGGCCTCCATCGCCATCCAGTACACCGCCATCCGCACCTTCACTGCCAAATCCTTCCACACCTGCCCCGGACTGGCCGAGGCAGGCCTGGCTGAGCGGTTGTGCGAGGAGAGCCCTACCTTCGCCTATAACCTCTCCCGTAAGACCCACATCCTCATCCTGGCCACCACACGCAGCGGTTCCTCCTTTGTGGGCCAGCTCTTCAACCAGCACCTGGATGTCTTCTACTTGTTTGAGCCCCTCTACCACGTCCAGAACACACTCATCCCCCGTTTCACCCAGGGCAAGAGCCCTGCAGACCGGCGGGTCATGCTGGGTGCCAGCCGCGACCTCCTGAGGAGCCTCTATGACTGTGACCTCTATTTCCTGGAGAACTACATCAAGCCACCGCCGGTCAACCACACCACAGACAAGATATTCCGCCGTGGAGCCAGCCGGGTGCTGTGCTCCCGCCCCGTGTGCGACTCCCCAGGCTCCGCTGACTTGGTGGTGGAGGAGGGCGACTGCGTGCGCAAATGTGGCCTGCTGAACCTGACGGTGGCCGCTGAGGCCTGTCGTGAGCGCAGTCACGTGGCCATCAAGACTGTGCGGGTGCCAGAGGTTAATGACTTGCGGGCCCTGGTTGAAGACCCCCGGTTAAACCTCAAGGTCATCCAGCTAGTCCGAGACCCACGTGGCATTCTGGCTTCCCGCAGCGAGACCTTCCGCGACACATACCGGCTCTGGCGGCTCTGGTACGGCACTGGGCGGAAACCTTACAACCTGGACGTGACGCAGCTGACCACAGTGTGCGAGGACTTCTCCAACTCCGTGTCCACCGGCCTCATGCGGCCCCCGTGGCTCAAGGGCAAGTACATGCTGGTGCGCTATGAGGACTTGGCCCGGAACCCCATGAAGAAGACCGAGGAGATCTACGGTTTCCTGGGTATCCCCTTGGACAGCCATGTGGCCCGCTGGATCCAGAATAACACACGGAGTGACCCTACCTTGGGCAAGCACAAATACGGGACCGTGCGAAACTCGGCGGCCACCGCCGAGAAGTGGCGCTTCCGCCTCTCCTATGACATTGTGGTCTTCGCCCAGAACGCCTGTCAGCGGGTGCTGGCGCAGCTGGGCTACAAGATGGCCACCTCGGAGGAGGAGCTCAAGAACCCCTCTGTCAGTCTGGTGGAGGAGCGGGACTTCCGCCCTTTCTCGTGACAAGGGCTCCGTGGTTGGTGGTGAGGGAGGGGCATTAGTGTCGGTTTTGATAAAATGGACTGTTTTTAACTGTTGCCTTATTTCCCCCTCCCTACACCCTGTCTGTGTGTCCTTCCTCCTCCCTGCCTATCGCCCACTTCCTTCTGCCTCTTTTTGTCTCTGAAATTTGCACTATGTCTTGGACAGGAATCACTGGGGCAGAGGGGCTGCAAGTGGGGTACACCCCCCACCCCATCCCATTCAGACACACGGATGTTGGGTCTCTGGGTGGATGGTGACTATGTTTACAAGCACCACACTCACACGTTCACACACACATGCACACACACAAGGCACCCTGAGGAGAGATACCCCAAACCACACTTCTTAAGCTTTTCTGATGGATGAGTGGTCAGGGTATGGTAGTTTTTGCACTGTCTCCCTTCTACAAGGTAAGAGGTTAAACAAAAAGGCCACCTCTCTAATTTACGAATGGTGTCTATTCCTCCCAATCCTGCTTCCCATCCCCAGTGCCCACCACCCCTCTTGGAGCAGAGAAACTGCCCCCTCTTGCCCACCCTTGCCTGTCTGTGAGCAGGTTTTTACTGTGAGGTGAATGTGGACCATGTTTATTTTTTGCAGTCTGTGGCAATGCTGTCTGTTTGTCTGAGTCTTGTGGCTGCCCCTGAACCAGTGATGGCTGATAAATCTTATGGGTTTCTGAATGAACTTGGGGTCCATCTGTGATATTTCTTTGTGCCAAAAAGAAAAAGAGTGGATCGGTTTGCTAAATGAACATTGAAATGCTTTATCTATGTTTTCTGTAAATAAAAGAGTGCAATAATATCTGGGTGTGATTGTGGGACATTCTGAATGGGTGAGGGTAGACCTCAGTTGGGGCTTGGTTTCTCACCTTTGGGGGGAAGAGAGAGAAGGAGATGGAGGTGGAGGTGGGGCTTCAGTAATCAGTCTCTGGCTTTCGGAATATATGCCATTGTTCTCACCCTCAACACAGAGTTCACTGGTACATTTCCATTCAGTCAGTTGAGACCTGGCACCTTATATCCAGGGGGTGATCAAAATATTCATCAAGCGGTGTGACTTGCTGAATTGATGTCCAGAGGTCAGGAGTCTTGGGGCCAGGATAACTGGGGAGGGGGTATATGTTGGGGATGGGGTGACTCAGGGCAGTGGCCGCTCATTAACTGGCCTGGAAGTATTTCAGTAGTTTACCATCTAGCACAGGTGTACTGGTGCTTACACTGGTGGAATAGCAGCTGTGCTTACTTCCCTGGCCATTGGGCAGCTTCTTCCAAACAACTTCTCTAGTTATTGTTTCAAGAAGAGAGCTGGTTTCTGGGGTGGAAGTCCTGGGACAGTGACAGGCCTAGGGGTTAGGCAGCCCCAGTGGTCCTGGGATCCTGAGGAAACTGTCCTGGGCTCCTGAGGAAACTCTGTCCTGGGCTGAGTCAGGGGAATACAGATTCAGCAGGTATAGCAAGTACCTTAGATAATAGCAGCTTAATTAAGATAGACTATCTTGTTTCATTCTCAATAGTGCGTCTGGGCTTTGCTAGTCAGGGCCCATATGGTGACTCCCCAGGTCATTACTCAGATGTTGGGGCCCTGGCTTTTTCCATCTTGCTGCTGCTCCATCATTCTAAGGTGTTATCCTTGGCTATATTGTCCAAGATGGCAAACCAGGCAGGGAGAAGGAGAAACATGTGAAAGGAGGGCATACCTCTGCCATTTGTGAGCAAACCCGCAAAGTTTAGACATCACTTGCACTCATGTTTCACTGGCTGAAACCTGGTCACATGGCCACATTTAGCAACAGTGGAAGCTGGAAAGTGTTTTTTTAAAATCTGGGTTGCCATGACTTAAAATGGCCAAGGAGTTAAAGGCTTATCTCCCTGGTTTCAGGTCTCTTCTGCAGAAGGGAGGTGGTATGATTTACACCTTCCTGGTTCAATAACACAATGGACTGGCTTGGAGAAGGCTTTGAGGACTGGCGGGCAGGGCCTGGGGCTTTGGGCGCCTCTTCCCTGCCCCTAGTTCACAGGCAGTACTCTGCAGCATGTGGTGAGTGAGCCTGCCTGTAAGGTGGCCTCCTGGCAGCAGTGCCCAGGGGATCAGTGCCTCCCTCAGTGCTCCTGGACACCTGTTCCAGCACCTGGGAGGGCCTGCCCCAGTGGAGGCTATGGCTAGCTGGTTCTCCTGTTAGCATACAGGCTGCTGTGGGACTTGTCTCCCAGGGAGCTCCCTTCTCCCCACCCTCCCACTGCCCTGCCGTGAATTGTCCCAGAGCCAGAGGGCTTCTCTCCCCTGGGTGGCTGGCTTCATGTTGAAACTGGGAGACACTGCAGCTCCTGACCTAGGTTGGAAAGAATCTTTCCCCTCAACTGCCATGACAGAAAATTAATAATGCTGGCTGGAGCTTTCATAGGTCCTGTTTAGTGATGGAATCCACTCATTCATTCATTCATTCAAGTATTTCTGACTCTTCTATGTGTAGTCCCTGGGGTTATGGGCACTCCTTCAAGAAAGTCTACTGGGAGGCAGACAGATAAAAAAGTGGTTATAGCATTGGTAAAGCACTGTGCCCACAAATATGTGCCCTGTGGGCTGGCCTGGGCCTGTACCAGCTTGGTCCTAGAAACTGCAAGGCTGCTGTAATAAGTCATGGGTGTATTCCCTAGGCCTCATGTTGTCATTCAGTGTGTCCCTGGTTCGGGGCTTAGAGAAGTCAGGGAGGGCTTCTCTTGGGTGGTGGTGCCTGAGTCTCGGGGAGGTAGGAACCAACCCTGTGCAGGGCTTGAGATGATGGTTCCTAGTTGAGAGAGAAGCCAGCGCAAGGGCACAGAGGTGTGGAGGTATGCACATCTATGGCTGTGTAGGCTGTGGGCTGGGATGTGCCCTCAGCTTTTCAAGCTTGGGAAGGCCACTTTAGTAGTTCACTCAGGGCAGTTCAGCCTTCCAGGGATTTATCTATGATGCTCAAACTCATATGACAGAGAATCAGTAACCAGACGGCTTGCCTGCCTTTAGGGTACAAACCAAACTTGTAGAGTGCTCTTAGCGGCCCTGTGTGTCCTGGTTCCCACCCCTCTCTATTTTCACGAACCCTATGTTCCCCTCCACCCTTCACTCTCTGGCCTTCCTGCTTTATTTCAATTCCTTGAACACATGGAGGTAGGTCATTGTAGTTACAGTCCCAAGTTTGTTCATACTTGACTCTGGGCTTAGCCATGTGCTTGGCCTTGGCAATGGGACAATAGCAAGTATGATGGGTACAGAGATGTGAAAAGCACCTGAGCTTTGGAGGTTGTCCTTGTTGGCTGCCTTTTGGGAGGCTTTAACTGCAGTGTGAATGAAACCCAGTGTACCTTCATGGAGAATGGCAGAGCAGGAAGAGAAGAACCAAAGAGCCCTAGCCAATGGTCGATCAGTTCATCACTGACTTGGCAACTAACTCAGATGCACGAGCAAGGCCCTGCCAAGATCAGGCACAGTCTGATCTGGATTGGTGGAACTGCCCGGCTGAACTCAGCCAAATTGCTGACCCACAAACTTTTGGGTTAAAAAAAGTGGTTATTGTCTTAAGTCTCTAAGTTTTTGTGTGACTTGTTATGCAACAAAAGCTAACCAACACACATGTGTTTCTGTGTCCCATTGCAAGGGCTTTGCACAGACTGTTCCTTATGCTGAGGTTACTCCGATTCCCCTTTTTATCTTATTACTGTCCACCCATCCTTTGGATCTCAGCTTAATTAGCCACACTTCCTGGGTTTTACCAGATCAGTTCAGTTATTCTGATTATAGGCTCTTATACAACAGATTATATATCTTCTATATCCTGATTACAGCTGTTACGGCACTGTGTATATCTCTTTTACAGTGTTTACCATCATTGTAATCACATTTTTATTACAGGACCTAGCACACAATAGGTATCCAATGAACAGTGGTTGAGTAAATAAAAGAATGAATAAAACAGGTGCTCACCACCTGATGAAATAACTTGTTTGTCCTGGGCCTTTGCTAGGGGGTGGGCAAGGCCTCAAGGGAATTTGAATGAGATCTGTGGCAACTAATGCCCTCCCAGGCTGTTTCTGACAAGTTATGGGGGGTGGCGCTAAGATTTGTTCCAAGAATCTGCATCCACCATCCCCCCATAGTCAGCAATTCTTTCTTACTCAACACACAGACATTGGCTTTCCTATTTCTTTGTCCCAGTACTGTCACCTGTCTTGCTACTTATTACAATTTCCAAGGTTAACACTCTGAAGGACAATAACAATGAACAAACACGTGTACAGAATTTTACAGTTTATAACGTGCACTTTCCCCTTCTACTACTCACACCTCTTCTGCAGCCCTTTCCTGCTGACACAGAGGAAACCTCTAGGCAGGAAGTGGTGGTCAGAGTCACATAGACAGGACGGGCCTCACTGCCCCTGCTGTGTGTAGCACCTTGATGGCTTAGATCCTAAGGACTAACTTCTGGACCTTGTCCCCACACTCAGGGCCCCTCTCCCTGTGGCCCCAGGGCCTGAGTCCTGTCAGTCTTTTCATCGCCGGCTGCCTGGTTTGTGTGTCTCCTCCTGCTCACTGTCCTCACCAGCAGCGGTCACTCGGCCTCCCAGCCCCACTTCCCTGATGCTCCACTACCTATCACCCCAGAGGGCATCATCCAGAGCAAAGCTGCACTTCCTGGTTCATCGCCTCCCCGGGGAAGAATTTCTCCCTGCTGGGATGCCTTTCCTTGTTGGGAAGGGAAAAATGTAGGAGAAGCACTTTCACAGACCCACTGAGAAAACACACAAGTTTCTGCTACTTGAAGGCTGGAAGAAAGTGGGAATCAAGTTCTCATGGGCTGGTAGTCAAGACTGGGACCCTCAGGGAGTCTAGCTGCAGCCGTGGTCTGAGTGGTCACTGGGGTGGGCTTCACATGTTGTGTGTAGGCACAGCGGGGAGACTAAGGCTCAAAGTGAGGATCTGGCTGGCCTGGGGGCCTGTGACCTGCTTGCCAGGGCACACACTGAAAATTACCAAATCTTGAAGTGCTCCATCAAAACCTCAAATCTGCCTACCCTGTCTGCCTCTCTCCAGTCGCATTTTCTTCTTCTGGGAGTTTGGGTGACTTGTAAGTGCAGTTGGGCCTTCATCTTGGGGACCATTGTGACAAAAAGCATGATTCTGAATTCCAGTCCCATTTTGCCACTATTTTCTGTGTGACCTTTGGAGCATCAGTTAACTTTTCTGAGCCTCCATATCCTCATCTATACAGAGATAGTTATTATAACACCTGCCTCAGAGGGCTCCTCTGAAGACTGTATAAGGCAAAGCATTTCAGGGCATAACATGGTGCTTGGTGCATAAGGAGTGCTCAATAAATGCTGGCCATTAGACATCCTCCTCTTCATGATTATTTGCCCACAATTCCCAGCAAGGTTCCTGGAATATGATAGCTGCTCCGTGAAGACTTGTTGAATGAATGCATTTTTTTGTGAGTTCTTCTAATTTGAACTGCTCCCAATGCACAAAGTTACCCCTGAATAAAATGGCAGGGCAGCCAGTGTAGTCCCCTTATCAGCCAAGACCTAGAACCAAGGGTAACTAGAAGGAGAGAAGTGGTACCATCAGAAATGTCCCTGGAATGCCACTAAGATTAGGGACAAGATGGCCTTATCACAGGACAGTAGGTATAGGATCTGGGTACCCTTGGAGGAGGAGTAATCCTCAAGAACAGAAGTTTGCTGAGTTGACCTGCCATCTTTTGGTTACATTCCCAAAGACCATCTAACTTCCTGGGGAAATGGCCTCCTGTGGTGGCCCTGCACCAGCAGCTCAGCCATT